GGACACTGCTCCATCAATAAACTACACGTACCAAGCTACACAGATTCCCCTCGATCTTAGCCCTAATCTCCAAACAAAATACTCTATTAGGAGACACTTGCTGTTTATTTATCTCTAACGTGGTGACCTTAACCTTCACCTGTGGAAAAGTGACCTGTACTTCATGCCTGCTGCAAAAAAATAATAAAAATACCTTGGAAGCTCTGCAGGCAAAACAACCCATTAACAGGCCAGCCAGCAAGCAACAATTTTTATGTAAATCACACAGTGCTTTGTTGCAGAGCTGCCATACTCGGTGGTTGCCATTTATATGAGGTCCTAGTAAACACACTCCCCTGGAGGTTCAGCATTTTCCATCAGTATTGCGTCTGTGATACTTTTACAGTGGAACCTCAATTTAACGAAGGGCCAAGGGACTGACAAAGTTTGTTCATTCTAACAAGGTTTTGTTATATCGGGGTTCTTTTTCATATATTTTTCTATTATTGGGGTAAAGAAAACCGTACATTATATCAACTACTTCGTTCAATCAGCTAGGGTTCCACCTTCTTTACTTACGAGTTATTCTGAACACAGGCCTGCCCAGAGGGACAGTGCCCAATGGGATTCTGGTCCCATGCGAGGTGCCATCCCTTTCCAATCCCACCCAGAAAGGTTGGCCACGTCACAAGGGTCTACGACCCCTACTCTTTTTCAAATAGTGAAGTGGGTGTTTTTTAAGTCCCACAAGAACAAATCAGTGAAAGTGCTGTGAGACGGGCCTTAGGTTTTTCGTCCTTATTGGAGAAGACTCGAAAGTCTAACCATTTGCCGATGTCATTTCAAAGGTTGCACTTTCTTCTCAGTCATTTAAAGACCCCAAGTGTTAGTCCAGCCAGAGTCTGAATCCACGACCTTCTGGTTGACCATTTGCCGATGTCATTTCAAAGGTTGCACTTTCTTCTCAGTCATTTAAAGACCCCAAGTGTTAGTCCAGCCAGGGTCTGAATCCCCGACCTCCTGGTTGGCAGACCGGCACTCTCCCAACTGAGTTGACCAGGCAGCAGTTAAATGTAAAATATGTTAATTATGACAGTCTTGAGACAAACTTGCATGTCTTTTCCTCTTTCTCCAATGCCCAAGTCAAGATACAGTAGTTAGTCAAGGGCTACTGACACAGTTACAATGGAATTTACTTTAATTTTTTGTTTACACATTTTCCTTTCCATAGGTATGAAATATGGCAAATAAAAGGAGTTATAGTTCCAAGTATAATGTACAATGATTGTAGCATCAGATTTTAATTTTGTCCATACATATTCAATGGTTTCAGAAATGTGCAAGGTACAAGAAAGGTACAGTTGGAGTGAAAAAAAGCTGTAAGAATTTAACACCTGTAGAGCCCCAATGCTGATATAGGTTAGATTAAGCTTGCCACCAGCCTATCTGAGGAACTGCTACGTGCATGCATTTCAGCTTTTTTTATTGTTTCTAAGCTCCTTTTGCGGTTTTAGTTAGCTACTGCAGCTGTTTTGGGGTGTTTTAAGAAGAGATTTTAGTCGATATGTTAATACAGGTGATTATTATTTTATAGCTGGAAACAATTAAAGATGTGTGAGTAATAAATGATGAACTATCAACATGGATCATAGCATAATATTTTTTTACAGCTGTAGTAAGTATAGTGAAAATATCAAAAGTATCAAAATAATATTCAAGACCACAATAAATTTTCATGAGCAATCAAAGCTGGCGAATGCAAAATAGATCAAGCTCGTATTACTAGAGTGCATGTTATCTTTAGATCATATATGTTTGAGGTTATGAATAGGAGGTTATTCATTATAGTAGAACACCAAAAATTCAAACTCCCTGCTAACTCAAACTAAGTCCCATTTCCAATTTTGGCAAATTGATTATTCAATCAATCCCAATAAATCGAACCCTCACCAACTTGAACTGATTTTTGTTTCCCTTCACAGTTTGAGTTGCCAGGCTTCTACTGTATTTATTTACATAATAAGACGCTGTTTGTTGTCGCTGGGACACTCTGTCACCCATAAACTTAAGAGACGAAGGAGAACTGTTGTTTAAATTTTTGTTCATTATCGTAAACTTAGGATATAGATGTACCTCGATGATCTTGGATTCTCTAACCTTAATCCAAAATCAGCATAGAAGGCTGTAAAGCATTTAAGGATTTAAGCCCTTTCCTCCCCTGGTGCTGTGCCTTGACGTGGCGGGGAGGCTTGCGTGCCCTTATGACCCCTAGAGCTTTGACGGCGGGAGCTTGTGCTCCTAGCAGGTTCAACCATGCCAGATTGGTCTAGGGGAGAGGGGCCAGACTAAACAGCACCCTGGTCCTCCAGGTTGGGGGTTTAGTGCAGGACTAACAACCCTGCCTTGTAAAACACCTCATGTCGAAGTAATCTTGGACATCAGCATACTAAAGGAATTTCACCGCTCTTTGTGCAGCTGACAAAGAAAACTTGTGACTGCAAACTGACAAGAGATCGTGTAAGACACAATCAGTCATGCATGGAGATGCTATGGAAATTGGATTCCCTTCATTATTTTGATACCCAACATGCATACTCAGTCAGTTCTCATACTGACGGTTCCCTACACTTTTTGGGATCACTGCTCCACAACTGCATCCCTGATGCCTGCCCCATACATTCCAGATACCAGACTGGAAACTTATGGAAGAAACAACTTGTATGAGATTGGATTCCTTACAGTGTCTGGTTGCTTGTGTATGACTAGATTCCAATGAAAGCTGAACTTGTGGATATGGTGTAGTGGTGTTTGGCCGATGAACTGTTTCGACAGAAACCGGTGTCACTTGGGGTGGGTTGACCTTTGGGATGATAAGGATTTACTAGGATCGGAGATCCCAGACCACTTGGATCATGGTAGATCAATTCATTTGATCTATCATGATCCGAGTGATCTCAGACCACTTATCCTCATTCAGATCGTCTCAAAGAGCCCACTCTTAATAATCTACATGCCATGAGAGATCAGCAAACATAGAACCGGTCAACCTATAAACCAGTAAGTATGGAAACCATTAACTCATACTAACTGTTCTTCCCTACTTGTAGTGTACAACTACAAGTGCATCCCTGATGCCTGCCCTTTTTGCTTTGGTGTCAACCTGACAAACATAGGAATCCACCACTCAACTCTATGGTTATGATTATTGCTCCAGCACACATCCTTGAAAAACAGAAGTTCATCATCAGCAGTTGACTGGCACTGAAGAATTCATTTTTACTTTAGAAAATCCACTTTATGCTGGTACACATTCATTTAAATTTAACTGTTTTATATCTGTATCTATATTTTACATCTTTTCTTGAAGTTAGTAGGAAGGTCATTTGAAGATAACTAACTGGTCCGCAAGGAAGTAGAAAACAGAACTGAAATGGGGAAGCCACTGCTATTTTCTCCTCCAGATTTTGAAAGTGCTGTAGTTTGATGGTAAGTGATTATATTTTATCCTTTTTTGCACCTGACCTTTACTTAAAATACTTTTAAATATCAAATTCAGACTTACCTTTTTAAGAATATATTAGTTTAGGTTCTTTCCATAAGCTTGTACGAAGCACCTAGTGCTGGACTGGATAAGAACTACACAAATTTTAATTATAATATATTGTCAGCTGGATGCTTGTGTCAGGCCAGATTCCAATGAAAGCTGAACTTGTGGAAGTTGTAGTGGTGTTATGTGGCCGATGAACTGTTTCAGCAGAAGCCGGTGTCACTTAATCTGCACAACACAAGAGATCAGATATCATAGAATTAGCCACACTATAAACCTGTAAGTATGGAAACCATTTAACTCAAGACATACTAACTCTTCTTGCTTATTTGTAGTGTTCAACTACAAAAGCATCCCTGATGCCTGCCCTTTTTGCTGTAGTTTCAATCTGGCAATTGGAGGAACCCAACTCCAGGAAATCAAGGAGACTCAACATGCCTACACAGGCAGCACTCACACTGACTTGTTGTGATCAGCGATTCACAACTGCATCCTTGATGCCTGCCCCATACATTCCAGATATCAGACTGGAAACCATAGAAGATACTTGTATGACATTGGATTCCTAACGGTGGCTGGATGCTTGTGTCAGGCCAGATTCTTGTGAAAGCTGAACTTGTGGAAGGTGTAGTGGTGTTATGTGGCCGATGAACTGTTTCGGCAGAAGCCGGTGTCACTTAATCTGCATAACACAAGAGATTAGATATCATAGAACTGGCCGCACTATAAACCAGTAAGTATGGAAACCAGTAACTCATACTGACTGTTCTTCCCTACTTGTAGTGTTCAACTACAAGTGCATCCCTGTTTTGGCCCTTTTTGCTGTAGTTTCAATCTGGCAATTGGAGGAACCCAACTCCAGGAAATCAAGGAGACTCAACATGCCTACACAGGCAGCACTCACACTGACTTGTTGTGATCAGCGATTCACAACTGCATCCTTGATGCCTGCCCCATACATTCCAGATATTAGACTGGAAACTGCGGAAGATACTTGTATGACATTGGATTCCTAACGGTGGCTGGATGCTTGTGTCAGGCCAGATTCCTATGAAAGCTGAACTTGTGGAAGGTGTAGTGGTGTTATGTGGCCGATGAACTGTTTCGGCAGAAGCCGGTGTCACTTAATCTGCATAACACAAGAGATCAGATATCATAGAACTGGCCGCACTATAAACCAGTAAGTATGGAAACCAGAAACTCATACTGACTGTTCTTCCCTACTTGTAGTGTTCAACTACAAGTGCATCCCTGTTGCGTGCCCTTTTTGCTGTAGTTTCAATCTGGCATTTGGAGGAACCCAACTCCAGGAAATCAAGGAGACTCAACATGCCTACACAGGCAGCACTCACACTGACTTGTTGTGATCAGCGATTCACAACTGCATCCTTGATGCCTGCCCCATACATTCCAGATATTAGACTGGAAACTGCGGAAGATACTTGTATGACATTGGATTCCTAACGGTGGCTGGATGCTTGTGTCAGGCCAGATTCCTATGAAAGCTGAACTTGTGGAAGGTGTAGTGGTGTTATGTGGCCGATGAACAGTTTCGGCAGAAGCCGGTGTCACTTAATCTACATAACACGAGAGATCAGATATTATAGAACTGGCCGCACTATAAACCAGTAAGTATGGAAACCAGAAACTCATACTGACTGTTCTTCCCTACTTGTAGTGTTCAACTACAAGTGCATCCCTGATGCCTTCCCTTTTTGCTTTGGTGTCAACCTGGCAAACATAGGAACCCACCTCTCAACTCCTTGGTTATGATTATTGCTCCTGCACACATCCTTGAAAAACAGAAGTTTGTCATCAGCAGTTGAATGGCAGGATTTGCAAGAACTGATGGATTCATTTTTACTTAAGAGAATTCAGTTTATGCTGGTACACATTGCTTTAAATTTAACTGTTATATATATATTGATATGTCTTTTATATCTTTTCTGGAAGGTAGTAGGAAGGACATTTCAAGATAACTAACTGGTCTGCAAGGACAGAGAAAACAGATCTGAAATGGGGAAGCCAGTGCTATTTGTGTCCTCCAGATTTTGAAAGTGCTGTAGTTTGATGGTAAGTGATTCCTTTTTTGCACCTGACCTTTGACAGGGTTAGTGCGAAGTTTGAATTCAGATGTGAAAGCTTTTAAAACAGTAAATTCAACTTAATTCATTTTGTCAACAAGTTGATAATCGGAGCTCTTAAAAATAACAGAGAAAATTATCCGAAGAAATGTTTTTGAAGAAAGAAAACGAATTCCGGGTTAAGCACTAATTGGCCTTTGAACAACTACGCCCTGTAATCACGCCAGTAAAACAAAATGTTCTATTTACACGCCCGACGCACTCTGGCCAATGTCTTCTCCGATTACAAGCACTTGACACCGAACCATACGATATCTTTTCAAAACCTTCTTATAATCATACACAGTTTAAATGGAGGTTTTGCTGTATGCAACCCTTACATGCAAAATATGCCATAATCATATTTATCTGTATCGCAACCACCCTTCCCCCTCAACTGCTACCTGTACGCCTAACAAACATATCAAACACACTCTCCTAAGATCCGATTACTCCTAGTTATATATTGGTTTAGAATTTTTTCCCATAAGCTTGTATGCCTAGTGCTGGACTGGATACGCACTATTCACATTTTAATTATTATTTGTTATTATCATCGTCATCTATCACTATTATTATTATTATTATTATTAGTATTGGCATTAGAATTAGTATTAATAAGTACCTTTAATCTTTTATATCTCATCAGGAACTGTCATGCAAAGGTTACTGGTCTGCTATTAGGAGGACAGCTGATGAGCTGAACTGGAGAAGCCAATGCTGTTTTGTCGAACAGATTTTGAAATTGAAACGGATTGCTGGTAAGTCTTTGTTCTTTTGAATGTTACTTTTCCCATAGATTCCAGAATGCTATTGTGAAACTAACCAATAACACAAGTATTTTTTATGTATTTTTCTCTTAATTTTTTATATAGTAATATCTTTTTTATTTTTATTTTTTTATTATTCAGCATGTTTTTCTCCGATCCATGCACGTCATAAATTGCCATCGTTTCTGGCATCACTCTTCCACGACATCCTTAATCTGATTTAGTTGATAAAGAGACCAAGACAGAATCTCTTGCCGAGCCAGAAAAAAAAAACAGAATTGTCAGTGGTAGCTACCTCAGTCCTGCATACACAGCACCCTTGACATTTTCATTGGAACACAGCGTTTACGGGCCCACCAGCAACCATGCAACCACAAAGACTCTTCTCAGAATTCCTCAGTTATAACAGTTAATTTCCCAGTTAAGCTGATACAAGTGTGTGATATGAACTCTTTTGTGCAGTTTTCAAGATCAAGGACATTTTGCATTTCATTGAATCCAGCAAAACGGCCCAATATAGTGATGCTGCAGCACTCTGGGAAAAAAAGCTATGTTAAGCATCCAGACACTTATTTATGTTTCTGTGTCATTTTCTTTGGTTCAAGGTATCTGATTATTCTATGAGCAATTTCGATTAGTGTTACTCATTGCTAGTCAGCCCAGGAGACCTTTAAAATGGGGTACAGCTGGCCTGGGGTTTTCCTCCTAGGGGCAAGAGGACGTACGGGGAGGTTTTTCACCTAGCTGTTGTTCCATGACCCCATTTCTCTTAGCATTTATTGAAACACAGATTGCAAAAAATAGTGTTAAAACTGCTTGCATATACACTAGTTAACTAGGTAATCTTACTGTAAGTCTCTGTAATTTCTCCAGACGAATCAGGGTGCAAAGAAAGTCAGTTTTACAGCCTGCCATTCGGGTAAGCTGTAGCTAGCATGTACTAGCCCTCGAGTCATTTCGACTGGTGCCAAAACCCTTTTTGATTAGCAGGATTGATTACAATCCTTTTGTATTTTGAATTTCCCAGAAAACAGCATTTGTCCGTCAGGCAAGTTAAGAACAAAAATCACTAGCGCGATAGCGAAATCCACTAGCCCCCGGCTATCGGACACAACTTTCTTAGCACCCTGCCAATAAACCGAAAGTTGACATTACTTTTTGGGTGTCTATATTTATGTGAGGAATAAGGATTACCACGGGGGGTTGGTGTGCAGCATAAGAAATTTTAAAAGTTTGACCATAATCATCCAACATAACAACTATGTCAAATTAGTTTTGTGTGTGTAGGACAACTTCCTTTGAATATTGAACATGGACAAACATCATTTCTTAGTCTAGCTTGCCCAAAATCAAAACATGACTGATTAGACAATAAAAATATCAATTTTATATAGTTGTAAAAATAACAAATTTTCCAAACCTACGAGTATGGTCAAAAAAGTTATTTTTTTTTCATAGTTTATTTTTGGGCAAAATCAACAAAGAAATAATGTTTAGAGATGTTCTTAATAGAAAACAAGCCTTTCTAGACAATAAAAATATTAATCCTAAAAATGTGAATTTTTTCAAAGGGGTTAACCCATGATTTTGGTAAAAAAATTCCAAATTTTCTTTTTTTTTTTGTTTTAGGGTAAAAGGAGCATGGAATTATTGCTTTACGATGACTTAGACAAAAAACAAATTATTTTCGAGTATAAAAAAAAAAATAACGCCAAAAATCGCAATAAGTTAACCCATGATTTTTGTCAAAAAGTTCCAAATTTTTTTAAAATTTATTTTACGGCAAAGTGAACCTAGAAGTAATGTTTCACGATGTTCTAAATTAAAAAGAAACTATTTTTAGACCATGACAAAAAAAGCTTTTAATAAGGCCAAAAATCTAGGGGGGTTACCCCATAATTTTTGTCCAAAAATTCAAAATTATCTTTTACTTTTTTTAGGGCACAATCAGCTTAGAAATAATGTCTCACAATGTTCTAGATAAAAAAAACTATTTACAACTATTAAAATAACAGCTTTTCAGAAGGCCAAAAATCGCATTGTTCCAAAGGGGTTAACCCATGAGTTTGGTAAAAAAATTCACAAATTTTATTTTACTTTTTTTAGGTCAAAATAGGCGTAGAAATAATGTTTCACGATGTTCTAGATAAAAAAGAAACTATTTAAGACTATAAAAATGACAACTTTTCAAAAGGCCAAAAATCACAGTTTTCCAAAGGGGTTAACTCATGATTTTGGACGAAAAATGCAAAATTTTCTTTTACTTTTTTTACAGCAAAATGAGCCTAGAAATGATGTTTCACTATGTTCTAGATAAAAAAAAAAACTATTTTAGAGTAAAAAAAAAAAAATTTTACAGGGCCAAAAATCGAAATTATCTAAAAGGATTAACACAAAATATTTGCCAAAAAATTAAAAAATTTTATTTTATTTTTTTAAAACAAAAAAATCATAAAAATAATATTTACAAATATTAATGATTTTTTAATATATTCTAGAAAAAAAAAAAAACTATTATAGAGTAAAAAAAAAAACATTTTACAGGGCCAAAAATCGCAATTTTCCAAAGGGGTTAACTCATGATTTTTGCCAAAAGATTCAAAAATTTTCTTTTATTTTTTTAGAGCAAAATGAGCCTAAAAATAATGTTTCACGATATTCTAGATAAAAAAGAAACTATTTACGACTCTTAAAATAAGAACTTTTAAAAAGTCCAAAAATCGCATTTCACTAAGGGGTTAACCCATAATTTTTGTCAAAAAATTCAGAATTTTCTTTTCCTTTTTTTAGGGAAAAATGAGTCTAGAAATAGTCTTTCACAATGTTCTAAATAGAAAAGAAACTATTTTAGAGTAAACAAAAAGGACCTTTTCAAAAGGCCGAAAATCGCATTTTTCCAAAGGGGTTTAGTAAAAAAATTCAAAATTTTCTTTTACTTTTTCTGGGCAAAATAAACCTAGAAATTGTATTTCACGATGTTCTAGATAAAAAAGAAACGATTTACGACTATAGGAATAACAACTTTTCAGAAGGGCGAAAAATCGCATTTTTCCAAAGGGGTTAACCCATGATTTTTGCCAAAAAATTCAGAATTTTCTTTTACTCTTTTTAGGGCAAAATAAGCGTAGAAACAGTATTTCATGATGTTCTAGAAAAAAAAGAAACTATTTTTACAATAAAAAACTAACAACTTTTCAGAAGGCCAAAACTGTCAATTTTGCAGAGGGGTTAATCCATGGTTTTAGTCAAAAAATTAAAAATTTTCTTTTACTTTTTTAAGGGCAAAATGAGCCTAGAAATAGTATTTCACGATGCTCTAGGAAAGAAAAAAACTATTTTAAAGTAAAAAAAGACTTTTTAGAAGGCCAAAAATAGCAATTTTCCAAAGGGGTTAACCCATGAATTTTGTCAAAAAATTCCAAATTTTCTTTTGCTTTGTTTCGGGCAAAATAAGTCTAGAAATAGTATCTCATGATGTTCTAAAGAAAAAAAAACTATTGACCACCGTAAAAATGCCAACTTTTCAGAAGGCCAAAAATGCCAATTTTGCAAAGGGGTTAACCCATGATTTTAGTCAAAAAATTCAAAATTTCTTTTACTTTTTGGGGGGCAAAATGAGCCAAGAATAATGTTTCACGATGTTCTAGATAAAAAAAAAACTATTTTACAATAAACAAATAAAATTTTCTCCTTCTGAAAAGTTGTTATTGTGATAGTCGTCAATAGTTTCTTACTATACCTGATACTATACTATACTATACTATACGAGATACTATAACAGATACCATACTATACTATACTATACAATGTTCTAGATAAAAAAGAAACTATTTACGACTATCATAATAACTCTTCATAAGGGCGAAAAATTGCATTTTTAGAAATTCGAAATTTTCTTTTACTTTTTTTGGGGCAAAATGAGCCAAGAAATAATGTTTCACGATGTTCTAGATAAAAAAGAAACTATTTTACAATAAAAAAAATAAATTTTCCCCATCTGAAAAGTTGTTATTATGATAGTTGTCAATAGTTTCTTTTTTTATCTAGATCATCCTGAAATACTATACTACACTATACTATACTATACTATACTCTACTCTACTAATACTATACTATACTATACTATACTATACTATACTATACTATACTATACCAGATACTATACTATACTATACTATACTATACTATACTATACTATACTATACTATACTATACTATACTATGTTCTAGATAAAAAAGAAACTATTTACGACTGTCATAATCACTCTTCATAAGGGCGAAAAATTGCATTTTTACAAACGGGTTAACCCATAATTGTTCGCAAAAAATTCAAAATTTTCTATTACTTTTTTCCGGGCAAAATGAGGCTAGAAATAATGTTTCACGATGTTTTAGATAAAAAAGAAACTATTTTAGAGTAAAAAAATTGCAACTTTTCAGAAGGCCAAAAGTCACATTTTTCCAAAGGGGTTAACCTATGATTTGTGTCAAAAAATGCAAAATTTTCCTTTTTTTTTTATAGGGCAAAATAAGCCTAGAAATAATGTTTCACGATATTCTAGATAAAAAGAAAACTATTTTACAATAAAAAAAACAATTTTTCAGAAGGTTAAAATGACAGTTTTCCAAAGGGGTTCACCCATGATTTTTGTCAAAAAATGCAAAATTTTCCTTTTCTTTTTTTGGGGCAAAATGACCCTAGAAAAATGTTTCACGATGTTCTAGATAAAAAGGAAATTATTTTAGAGTAAAAAAATAAACTTTTTAGAAGGCCAAAACAGGCAATTTTGCAAAGGGGGTAACCCATGATTTTTGTCAAAAAATGCAAAATTTTCCTTTTCTTTTTTTAGGGCAAAATGAGGCTAGAAATAATGTTTCACTATGTTCTAGATACAAAAGAAACTATTTTACAATAAAAAAATCACAACTTTTCAGAAGGCTAAAAATGACAATTTTCCAAAGGGGTTAACCCATGATCTTTGACAAAAAATTCAAAATTTTCTTTTACTTTTTCTTATGGCAAAATGGGGCTAGAAATGTTTTACGATGTTTTAGATAAAAAAGAAACTATTTTAGAGCAAAAAAATAACTTTTTAGAAGGCCAAAACTGGCAATTTTGCAAAGGGGTTAACCCATGATTTTTGTCAAAAAAAGCAAAATTTTCCTTTTCTTTTTTTGGGGGAAAATAAGCCTAGAAATAATGTTTCACGATGTTTTAGATAAAAAGGAAACTATTTTAGAGTAAAAAAAATTACAACTTTTCAGAAGGCCAAAATCGTATTTTTCCAAAGCGGTTAACCCATGATTTTTGTCAAAAAATTCAAACTTTTCTTATCCTTTTTTTTGGGCAAAATGAGCCTAGAAATATGTTTCACGATGTTCTAGATGAAAAGGAAAGTATTTTAGAGCAAAAAAATAACAACTTTTTAGAAGGCCAAAACTGGCAATTTTGCAAAGGGGTTAACCCATGATTTTTGTCAAAAAATGCAAAAATTTCCTTTTCTTTTTTTGGGGGAAAATAAGCCTAGAAATAATGTTTCACGATGTTTTAGATAAAAAGGAAACTATTTTAGAGTAAAAAAAATTACAACTTTTCAGAAGGCCAAAATCGTATTTTTCCAAAGCGGTTAACCCATGATTTTTGTCAAAAAATTCAAACTTTTCTTATCCTTTTTTTTGGGCAAAATGAGCCTAGAAATATGTTTCACGATGTTCTAGATGAAAAGGAAAGTATTTTAGAGCAAAAAAATAACAACTTTTTAGAAGGCCAAAACTGGCAATTTTGCAAAGGGGTTAACCCATGATTTTTGTCAAAAAATGCAAAAATTTCCTTTTCTTTTTTTGGGGGAAAATAAGCCTAGAAATAATGTTTCACGATGTTTTAGATAAAAAGGAAACTATTTTAGAGTAAAAAAAATTACAACTTTTCAGAAGGCCAAAATCGTATTTTTCCAAAGGGGTTAACCCATGATTTTTGTCAAAAAATTCAAACTTTTCTTTTACTTTTTTAAGGGGAAAATGAGCCTAGAAATAACGTTTCATGGTGTTCTAGATAGAAAAGAAACTGTTTTGGACTATAAAAATAACAACTTTTCAGAAGGCCTAAAATCACAATTTTCCGAAGAAGTGAAATCATGATGTTGGTCTAAAAAATCCAAATTTTTAGTTTTTTGTTTCAGGGTAAAATGAGGATGGAATTATTTTTTTACGATGTTCTAGACAAAAAAAGCAACTATTTTCGAGTATAAAAATAAAAACTTTTCAGAAGGCTGAAAATTGCAATTTTCCAAAGTGGTTAACTCAAGATTTTTGTCAAAAACTTTAAAATTTTCTTTTACTTTTTTTAAGTGCAAAATGAGCCTAGAAATAATGTTTATGATGTTCTAGCTAAGAAAAAAGAATTTATATTAGCCCATAAAAATAACATCTTTTCAGAAGGCCAACCCCCCGTGGTAATCCTTGTTCCTGATATAAATATAGACACCCAAAAAGTAATGTGAATTTTCAGTTTCGCGCTGTGGGGAAATTACAGAGACTTACAGTAAGATCATCTAGTTAACTAGTGTATATGGAAGCAGTTTCAACACTATAGTTTGGAATCTGTGTTTCAATAAAGAATGGGGTTGTGGAACAACAGCTGGGTGAAAAACCTCGCTGTAAGTTCACTTTATGTCCGTAGGAGTAAAACCCCAGGCCAGCTGTACCCCATTTCACAGGTCTCCTGGGCAAGTCCTAGTAATCAGAAGGTACCTAAGAAGTGTTTGGAACCTTGAATTACATTTTCTGAGGTTGCTGCATCACTGTTTTGCTTGATTAAATGAATACATGTACTACACAATGTCCGTATCCTAAAATCTGAAGGAGTGAGTTCATTATTTTTGCGCTCTTTAATCGGCTTTACTGACAAATTAACTCTTCTTGCTGATGAACTGGGGTGAACCAGTATACTCTGTGCACCATCAAAAATGGTCTTGTTGAGGTAGTTTCCACCATACAATTTTGTACATCTCAGCTCAGCAGGAGATTCTGTCTTTGTCTCATTTGCAAGGTGACTCAGATTAAGGGCTGACGTGGCAAAATAATATCTGAATCCATGGCGATGTACAAGCTGAATATAAAAAAATATATATTATTTTAAAATAAATAATGGCCAGAAAAATACTTAACCAATACTTGCGTTATGAGTAAGTTTAACAAACTCATAACAGGCTAATTAACATTCAAAACAGGAAACTTACAACTTGTAAGTAATCCATCTTATTTTCCAAATCTGTTAAACAAAACAACACTGGCTTCTCCAGTTCAGCTCTTCTTTCCTCCAGTGACCTTTTCGTGATACATCTACATAGACAAAAGATAATTTGCGTTATGATTTGCACTTTTTCAACTTGCACGACAAATTAAAGGATGTTAAGGAAAGTAATGGGCCAAATTACTTTCTCATATATTAACATATCCTGTGCTGGGTTATTCACAAAATATTTAGTCACCTACCGTATACAAACTATGGCATTTTCATAATGTTGACGACAAATAACAATGGTGTCCCCTTTGATCACTTCTCTCTTTCTAATGGTAGACAAGTGACATTATTTTGCACGACATTCCAAGAAGGTAAAAGGTACTTAAAGCTAGGATTTCCACTTTTTTACTTGCAAAACACAGGATGTAAGTTAAGAGGAATGTAATGGGAAATTCTTAGTTAAAACAATGATGTCACTGACCACCAAACTGTCAATGGTACTTTTAAATTCTGGAAGACAAAAATAACAGGCATACCAATTTTTTTAAGGAGGCATGTGTGGCAGAGCGATAAACACCTTGAACTCAGGATTAGGACTCAGGTCTGGGGTTCA